CGATTCCTCATGGGCACTCAGAAGTTTCTCTTTGTCACACGCTCGTGACAAGACGAAAAACATCTTTCTCTATTTCTTTACCGATCTCCAAACTTATCATCTCTCTTCTCCTATCTAGAAATCAGTTGATATTTAGAATTAATCGAAACGAGGGAAAACACTGCAACAAAGGCTCCCTCGATCCATGTTGCTTTCCCGCTGTTTACGTCTTCCTGCCGCATGGGAACTCTTGACAATGTTAATGATTTCTAGGTATTATTTGTTACAGCTGGCACTTCCCTTAGGCACTCTGGCTGTTTACGTCCTCTTTATGTGACTAATAAAACGGAATTTTTTTACATCAGTTAATCTTCAAATAAGTCACTTAATTAATTATTAAAGGTTTGTTAGAATTTGAACATTAGGCTCACAGAGAAGTCCCTATCAAGTTGTAATGGTTTTTATCGCTTGCGGCAAAAAGTTTAGATAATGCAAGGGTCACCATGTGTCACAAATATTTCCTGTTATTCCGAGAAAAGCATTCAGTGATTAAAATAAAGGAGTAATATATAATCCACTTAAACCTGGCTAATTACCAGCTTTGTCAATCTCAAGGTGTTCAGAGGTCCATCGTTAGGCCGTTAGTCCATCGGAAGACTTAAAATAAACACGTAAAAATAAACTTTGAAATGCTTGCGAAAATTGAGCATGGTACCTGGCTTCCGCTGCAAGAATCAGTGTTTCGTTTTGGAGAAACATATTTCTCTATCTAGCTCAAGGCGTTTTTATGATGGTTTTCTAAAGCAAACAACAAGCTGAAAGCAACAGCTGGATAGACTGGCGTCTTCCTCTCTTTGAAAACACATCGAGAAGAAATGTCATTGTTCCAATTTTAAACCAACAATGTAGAACAGTTTCTTAGGAAAAGAAACAACGCAACGAAACTTTGACGTCACAATATTGCGAAAAATCGCACTGCGATACCTCCGTCAGAAATAAACGTGTGGCTTTCCTGTAGCAGGCTTTATTTTAGCATCTTTAAGTTCATTTCTTACGTTAAACGTTTGGGCTACCTTAAAAGGAATCTCGAGCGGGTCGGGCCTTACCCTGTTTTCGGGAAATTTTACATGCAATTTCCGCCAAGCTCGCCAGTTGTTTATAGAGCCGTGTGATTCGCTTTCGAAACCATTAAAAATAACTGCTTTAGTATCGCAACTAAGGAAATCCGAGATTCCATTAAGCGGCGAATCGACCCTCTGAGTCGAACAAAAAACAAAGGCGACAATGATTTCAGCTACTCTCATCATGTCTCTGTGGCTCCCAGGTAGGTTTAAGAACACAGTGTTAACATTTTCAGCGATCAAACGATTCCTTCATTCTTTTCTTTTCTTTCATCGTGACATTCTACAACAATACAACTCATCCCACCACTTAAATGAAGCCGACGATCGGATAAACGCACAAACGCGGAAGTGCCTCTTCGTCAAAACCTTAAAACCTTAAACTAGGAAAGTCCAAACCGTAATTACATATATTTCTAGCGTGATTTTAACACCAGAAACAAGATTGAAAGCAATTCATACTTAACACAGACAAGAAATAAGTTTTTTGGTTCTAGATTAACTGCTTAAGGTGAAAGTGAAAGTAATCATCTTTAGGGGAAAATTTAATGTTTGGTGTACGGAAGATGTATTTAGACTTACTAGATTTAACAAAGTCAAAATTAGATTAAAAAATTTCGAATTTCCAAACCTGAAAGCAAGGATTTTGCGACCCAACAGCGAAATTTGAAAAATAACATCGGCAAACGGTTGGTTTAAAGAAAGAGATGACCACGGACTATATTTTTGAGGCGGTTGGAGACACTGCTTGTGGCAGACCTTTCATAAATAATAAAATGGCCATATCTTTCAGGCGAAATTTTGCCATGTAGTCGCTACCGGTTTATTCTGAAAAAATATTCAAAAACAAAAGAACGACATCTGAACTACGATTTTTGATAAATATTCAGGTAATTTATTTCCGAGAAAGAACAAGACAAAGGCCCCTTCCTTCTGAGAAAGGCCATTGTTTAAGTTCAGCCTGTGCATAAATCAATCGACAGCGTTTACACGAACAGAAAATCAGGAATCCTGGAATTATGGAAATGGAATACGCGGAAACTACAAATCGTTCACACGCACCTAGAGACCATTTTCATTTGATCAGTCTACCTTTCAAACTGGTACATTATTAGCTTTGTAACTAGCTTCACGAGCAATCCCGTTACAGGGAAAAAGTACAGAAAGAGTTCTTCGGTCTTTGGTCAGCTGAGAGAAGTTTGACAACTTAGCTTACGAGGTCGCTTATGATTCTGCGTTTATGCAACAATATATACTCTATTGTTTTTCTTTTCCATTTCTTTCCACGATTTAACAGTATTTTGCCAAGGGTATCCTGAAATTGTTTCTGCACCAAGTGATCCCCTGATTGCCCGTAGCGAAGACAAAGCTACCCTCAATTGGACGCTTGAGTTGCCTCCCTCAGAGACGTGGAATAGTAGCATATTTGAAGTGGTGTTTGGAATCTGGAAAGATCCAGGATTCCTGAAAACAAAACTCTTGGTCATCGATAGACATGGTGAGGTATTGATAAGACCAAACTATGAGAAAAAAATTAGCTGCGACTTCAACATGTCCAAGCTTCAAGTTGCATTCATTCTCCATGATTTAACCATGAAGGACGAGAATCATTACTCTCTTCAGGTTGAGCTTGGCCTTCATCAGCCTCCTTTGACGGATCCTGTGATGCTTCTTCTTGAGGGTAATATAATTGTTACATTTCATTTGTAAAGGAATACCACAGACCCGGAAGCGGGGGTACTCAGGCAAATATGTTCTGGGTATGTACCCCTGGGCTACTCAGAGCCCCTTGCCCATACTCATTCAGGGCCAATTATGGACCCAATCTTAGCCACTCTTAAGTATTTGTGATGGCTTTCCTTCTTTGACATTCACTTCTGATTGAGAGAAACCTTACTCTCAAATATCTCAACAGATTTTCCTAAGATAACCAGTCCCAAACAGGAAAACTTTTCAGTGAACATTGGGGAAAACTTGCGAATAAACAGTCAAGCAAAGGGTCTTCCTGCACCAACCATAACATGGACGAAACAGGGGAGAATTGTTGGTAATGATACATTGGTTGTCAATGGAGTAACGCCAAACGACAGCGGAGTCTACTTGTGCAGCGCTCACAACCAGGCTGGTGAAGATCATAAGGAGATTGTGGTTACGGTTTTGGAGCATAATTATGGATCAAAAAAGCTAACAGGTTTTAACAATTTGTTTGTCGAAATAAATACCCATGAACTAGACTGCTAATGCATATTCTTATGTTGGTGACTGAATTTTCATTTTCAGAGCGTTTCCATTGGCGCGTCCTGTGTTAAACGATTTGAAAATTACAAACACTCCCTCACTAGAAACCGAATGGAATCATTACCTATTCAAGGAGTTAGTTTCTCTGATTTTTTTTAAGCTAAGGATCTCTTTCGCACAAGTCATGATATCGACCACATCAATGTCCCTGTAATCTTAAGCAGTCCACGTTACTCTAACAAGGTCCCACAATTTGATACCTTCTCCTGATATCGATCATCGGTTCGATTAGCTTATTTATACATTAAAAAAAAAAGTTTTCAATTTTCAATTTTCTGAATTGGCCAAGCCGCTCATTCACAAGTTAATTACAGACAGACTGATAACCAAGGTGGCCTCCCCTGGCCTCTCCTCTAGTCTTTGAGGTCTCTTGTTGTTGAATTTGTATAAATATTACTTCTGAAGCTGCTCAGAAATAATGACGACGATTATAATGATAATCATCCTTCCTGCTAAAGTGCTTTCTAACTCTTTTCTAGTTTCTCATATGCCAACACAAACATCACATGATAGAGGAAGTCCTGTGTGGTTATTTCCAGTAGTCATAGGTGTGTCAGTTTTTTTAATAGCTGCAGTGGTTGTCTTTCGCTCGCGTGGGCACCGCTGCAAAAGGAACCTCGCTTATGAGCAGCATATTGATGAAAAAGCATCAGCTGAGCACTTCACAACTGCCAAGATCTAGCCTAGAGCCGATGAGGAGGCTGCAGGTTAGTGACTGAACAGTATACCTTGATCATACTCTATCATGGAATGCATCATTAGCTGGTATACCGAAATAGTATCAAAAGCAGCTGTGCAATTTCTCCAATTTTTCCTCTTTCTTAACCTCCTGCCGGTTTCTGCTCCTAAGCCTCTAAATTGTCTCCACTGATCCGATAATTCTCGTAAGTTATAAATAAAACTTGCGTAATTGTAGTACACTGTAAGTGTGCTTTAAAATGATTGCTGAGGAAAAATAGAAAACTTTAAAACAGATCAATTCTTGTCATTGACGGGACAAAATTTTCTCAGCGAGAAAATGAGAAATGAGTTGCTTTGACACAAACCGGCCGTCCACTAGTCTTTGAATAACAATCTAACGCACCCATTTGATGAATGCATTGGTACTCAAAATCCTTTGTTTTACAATGTTAGTTCGGAACACAACCCAATCACTGAAAAAATTCCATGAACTTGCAACTGAATAGTTTGTTACCGTAATTAGCATGGAAAGACTTCGTAGGAGAGAACTTTAAAGAATTAAAACTTATAATCTGGCTTAATGTTGGTAAATAAAGCAAGAATACAATTTTCAGCACTACATGTGTAGATATATAGAGAATAATACGTGGGCACGCATAGATATGGAATTTCTCTTCGGGTGTGTTACTTGATAGCTAACGAGTGAGCGCAGCGAACGAGTGAGATGTCGAGTTGAACACAAGAAGAGAAATTCCATATCTACAAGCAACCATGTATTATTTTGTTTAGCATAGAAACACAATAGCCCTTTACTGAGAAGAAAAACATTTGCCTTTTTAGCAGGGGCGATTGTACCAAACGGTCGACAATGAATTCCGTATAAAACTATCAGAGCAATTTAATCAAAATTTAATTTGCCTTTTCAGCTCTTTTAGCAATGTTTATGAGTTCAATCCTGTCGTTTCAGTGAACAATCTCGAAAACGGAAAGTGCCTTCAAGCTCCAAGCAAGAAAGGAAGCTACATGCAGGGTGAATTTCAATATGATTTGGCCCGACAACCAACCCTCGTAATAATCTTAATTTTTATTAATAAACACTACTAAGATAAACTTTTATCAAGTTTGGTTTGCTTCTAGCTTTTGCTATAACTACGGAATTGGAGTCGCATACGGTTCAGAAGAATGCGGAAGCATTTACCTGTTGGTGAGAGAATCATAAAAGTGTACGAAGCCTTACCAAAAACACATCAAAATTCGCTGGAGAGACGCCAAAATAAGTTTTAACCCTTTAACTCCCAGGAGTGATCAAGACGGAATTACTCCTTACAATATCAATACAATATCAACCAGATAAGTGATAAAAACAAAGAAAAATATCAATTTGGGGATAATGAGTCGATCCAATACTAAATTATTTGAACTAACATTGTAAGAATTGTATGGTTGACGGTAAGGAGAATTACAAATTTAGTTTGGGAGTTAAAGGATTAAGAAGTTTTCTCTGTCTCCATCTAAATCAAGCTCCTGCTGTTTAACCCTTTAACTCCTATGAGTGACCAAGACAGAATCTCTTCTTACAATATCAACTCAAAATCAAGCAGACAAGTAAGAAGAATATAGAAGAAAACTGAATTAGGGGCCTACAAGGTGATCCAATACCAAATTCTCCGATTTGAAATAATTAGTATTTTATGGCAGACAGTAGGGAGAATTACTTAGAGATCTTGGGAGTTAAGGGGGTTAACAATCACAGGTAGACAGGATTCTTTATGAAGAAAGACACTTCTCAGAATTTCATTGCTGACGCGTCACGCTACGAAGGCCCAACAGGCAGTCACAGAGATGGCTGCCCTGCAGTCAAAATTTTTCTAAGAATCTCATCTTACAATTTCAAGTGATCTTAAAAATTACGCTTGTCTTTTGACGGACGAAATATCCAAACTTGCGTATACTATAAAATAGATATGATGTCCCCTTTGAATTATGGTCACAGTACGGTTGTTAGAAATTAAATATTGACCAAACTTCCGCAGAAAACCTCATTCAAACCTCTTGAAGTATTCGATTCTTTGTTTGTGCCGACATTCCAAGCGATTCAAGGATCTCGGCTCTTAATTCAGTTGGTTCAAGATTCTACGGTTTCAAGGATCTGTTAAGACATAGCGATCTCACTGTTCCCTGAAGTACCGTTGTTTCGTAAAGTCGAACATCGACACGATTCCTCAGTTGAACCGACTAGATTTCTTAACAAACATCTGATACTCTTAAGATGTTTACAAGGCATTCCCGGAAACCCAAGAAAATGCACCGTCATGGTCGTAGATTTTTATTAGAACAGCCGCATCGATGATGCAATTCAATAAAAATGCTAACTCGACATATTTTTCACGCAGTTGTCTTTACTCAAAGAGGCTGTCATGGATTTACGTTTGCGCCAAGTTTTCTTCGGCAGTTTTTGTATGGTAACATTGCTTCAAGGTAAGTTTTAATGCTGGCAGCATGTGCGAGGAGATGATGACGGTAGTAAGAAAAAGAGAATCTATAAAGCTTTGAAATTGAATAGTGAAATCGGAAAGTGATACTCCGAATATGTTCGTGCCCTTCTACAACAAAGTTGAAGTTCGAAGGGCTACGTTGAAAACTTACCACACAATTGTTAGAAATGTTTGAAATGACTCACCTTTCGCTACTGAGTTCGAAGAAATTTCTGAAGGCACCCACGGCCATTGATTTTCAAGAGCTTCCTGCTTTTCTCGGAAATATCGAATATCATACATGATACGAGCAACCAGTAAAACGACTGCGAACGAGACTAAAGTAACCCAGCTCAAAGGCATTGAGCGAAGCAGAACCAAGGAAAAGGTCGAGAAGAAAATTGTTAAATAATTTCTAAAGAATTTGGCGAATGGCTGGATAGGTTTCACGTCTCTAGCGGCGCCAAACCCGACAATTGGCGTATGTTGTCAACAGGATTAATTCCCGACGTTTCCTCGAGTTTGTTCCTCAATGAGCGCAGGCTCATTTCCCGAACAGCGGCTGGTAATCGAAGGATAAGAAATGTAAAAAGCTAGATTTTTTTGAGTATTAAATCCTGCTTCACCACGCTGTCATTGCGAACGCTGTCTTGATTTGTCCAAAGTCCCTTATATGACATAATGACCTCACTTCAATCAGAAACGGTTTTAAATTTGAAATGGTTTAATGGCATGCTCGGGATTTGAGTCACAAATTTTCACTTGTTAGCAAGGGTATTCACACCAAAACGTAGTGATGATATTCGAGGACGTATTTCTCGGGGAAAAAAACCTCGACAATCGATGGAAACAAATTTCTGGATCTACAATTTTTTGAAAAAAAAACAAAAAACAAAAAACAAGCAGGGAACGGCTACCCGTCGATATGAATTTGATTGCATCGAAAAGAGGATTTGGTGGCCAAGCATAATGCGTTAACATGATGGTGCTATTTCGCGACATAGTGGATCACCACGGGAATTTGATGATCGTCTGGTAAAAGAAAAGCATTAACATTGGTTTGCTGGGTTGGGAAAAGGGAACTGTTGATAATCGAAAAGAGTAATTGACACGAGTTGTAAATCATTAAAATTGTTGACCATTTGAGCAGAGAGTGAGTTGAAAAAATATGTATTAAGAAAAACCAAGACAATTTAAACTAGTCGTTTATAGGTCATGATTGCTTAGCGATAACTGAGTTTTTATAACTTACATAAATATCACACTTGAATTGATTGTTCTACTAATTAAATATTAATTATTTGATTTTGTATTTTCTCATTTCCTTGATTTTTTTCAATAGTGGCTGGTAGTATAAGCTTCACAGGGGACATACCAGACCGTACAATAAAGGCCAAACTAGATGACGATGTCGCTCTGGGCTGGAGCTTCTCATACAACGATTTGGAAGGCAATCCAGGTGGCCCATTTGGTGCTCCAGACGTGTACGAAATCAGCTTTGGTATTTATAAATCTATACACGGCGAAACTTTCTTGAGCGAGAAACTTGTTGTTGTCGATAGTAGTGGAAAGTTTAGGGTGCAAGATGGATTTGATAGAAAAATGGATTGGAGCCACTCAAAATACAAATTAACATTCATTCTGAAAAACATTGCTATCCAAGATCAGGCAATGTACGGAGTGAATGTTGACCTTGGCTTGAGTCGGCTGCCGCTCAAGGATTCTGTGATTGTTATCATACCAGGACTCTCTTACGTGGTTCAAAATGGCAGCTCGATTGTCCGTAAAGGTAAGACAAATTAATCCAGAGGTATCCTTAACCCTATTTTTTTTATAACTAGTAGTGAAATGTGGACTTCAAAATTCTAATATTCTACCTTTTTTTTTAGAGTCAGCCTACATGATGGAACCTTTTGAACTATCGTTTACAAGATCAGACCACGACCGAACTGCTGACCGTTTTAAGTACACACTCAAAAAAGATAACACAACCATTTTCATTATTGGAAAGAACAGAGAAGATAACAAATTCAGTTGCTCTCATTATGTTTCTCAAAAACCTACACCCTGTTCTGATGATTCCTTCTCAGTGAACGAAACTTACGTTTCTTTCCAACAAAGAAATGTTACTCTTCAAGATGCTGGTCGATACCTCTGTATAAAGTATTCATCTGGGCTCTACGATACAACATTCGAGGAAATCGATCTTAATGTACTAGGTAACGTATGCAAGTATGTTTTAATGATTTAC